CAAACAACCAATATTTGACCATTAGACAAAGTTATCTGCTGAAATTTTTTTTATGTAAGATAAAAATGGCTGCCAGATGTCAAAGAATTTGTTTCAGAGGTCTTTCTTCTATGTTTATACTAAAGCATGGAATGACATTCCTCAAAACATAAAGTCCATTTCAAAACTACAGCCCTTTAAGAAGAATCTTGTTTGCCATCTGCTGGACACTTTTTGTTGTGCTCATATTTAGACGTACTATTTTGCAAACGCTGTCTTCCTGAAATTTGGTATGCTTGTTTGTCTTTGTGCCTATGGTGTAATAATAATTATGTGATTGTGATGCTGTATTTCTGAGTGTTTTATGTGCTGCAGAACAGGAACCTGCTATAAAACAGCAATTATGCTGAGTCAGGCTTGATTTTTTAGTAATCTTTTCCTGTTAAATCAATAAATCAAATCAAATCATTTAAACAGTTGTATATTATAGTTTCGGAGAATCATTATTACATTTGACAGAGGGGGTTCTAGGGGTATGTCAAAATGGTTCAGGGGGTACACAAGTCTAAAAAGGGTGGGAACCACTGGTTTACAAGACACTTGTGGAAAAATAAAATTAGCTATAATTTGAAACTGATGTGACTTTTTAAGTCTATTTTGAAAGCCCAATTTGGTTTAAAGGAACTGATTTTTGATTACATTTAAAGATGCTTCCGTGACATTTCCTCAGCATTTATACAGATAAGCCCAAAAACTATTTAATAACATCTTTTTACTGCTTAAAATTTTTGAAGGAAAAAACAAAGCAAATAAATAAATAAAAAAAAACACTATAACAACAAAACAATTGCATGTATTAAACTATAGACCCTCGGCCTGGAAAGCAAAATACAAAAAGTTATTTATTCCATTCGCAATATCCACTTTGAGCACTTTAATATAAGAAGCATACTTTCACGCTTTAACAGTCCACTTTTATGTAATAAAGTTGTTATAGAACGCTGTTGTTGGGCGCTGACAAAAAAGATTTCTGTAACCATCTAGAAGAGTTTTATCTATTCATATTCAAATTTTGTGCAACAATTATTTGTTGAAAAGAGCTAAAGTAATAATAGTTCTGTTACAGATTTTGAAAAATTGAAAGGTTTTGAGTTAGCAATCATCTCTTTAGAGGGGCTTAGACAAAACTTTGCTTTTTATAGTCTGGATCAACAAAGATTTGCATGATGCATATCAGAAACTATTTCCAGATTATCCAACATGCATTCAAATGTTTGAAAAAGACCACTTAATTTCAAGTCAATGTGTAAAAAAAACTAGTCATTTATATGTTGTCTACATTTTAAGTGATAAAAGAAAATGAACACTAATATCACTCAAGGTGCGTTTTTTTAAATTTAGTAGTCTATATTATCTTACACCTTGACCAATCATTGACAGCAGAGGTCATGTTGAATAAAGACAAACCAAGTATAACAGGCTGCTTTTTATTAGTCCTCTTTTCAAATTAGACTTTTCAGTTGAGATTCGTTATAAAAGATAAAGCGTTGTCAATTCTGCAGTTTTTATCACAAAGAAACTGCGACAGAGAAAAAAGTAAAAAACAAAAAAAAAAATCAGGCAGATTTTTTTTTAAAGATACATATTAATAAAACTGATAGCAAACTATGTACAGCAATGACTTGGTTGAGATTTCAGAACAAGCGATGACAGGTTAGTGAAAAGCAGATCTGTAGAGACAAACCTTTGAAACAATTCTCAGAACTAACCCCGTGAGGCAGTCACTTTCTCTAAATTGTATGCCACTTTAGTTCAACATAAATTAAACTTGAGATAAGAGAGAGACAGGCAAAGAAAGAAATCATCGTCTGGAATTAATTTACCAACAGGACATAATAAACCAAAGCAAATGTTCCTCCATTTGAATCAAGAACAAACTAAAACTGGTCGTGACATCGACTTGATGGAAAAAAAAATACTTGAGAAATAAATTAGAGCTGGAAAGTTGTATTACTTTGCAATAAAAAACAAACAAGTACCTGATTTTCTCTCTGTAACTCAACAGTGACACCTTCTGCAACTGAAAACCTGTCACACTCTTTAAAACTCACAGTAATCGTTTTCTTTGATCATAAAGTCCTGAAACCATCTAAGACGGGTCCAGAATTCTACCCGGCAGAATTCGGATCTCTTTGAGTCAAACACGGTGGAAAGTTCATACAAATAAAAGGACTTTTTTTTTCCTTTTTTTCCATAACAACCCTTTTGTACAGTTCTTGCATTTTCACAATAAAATATTTAAAGTTTTCCACTTGCAAAATAAATGGAATTTTGATCATATTTATTGGAAGAAAAAAAAACTTGCGTGAACCTTAAGCTCAAGTTTAGCACTTGGTTAGTTTAAAAATGAACAAGTTCAACTGCCCTTTGATTGAAACTTAATGCATCTCTGTGAAAATCTGTTCTGTGCTCCCTCCGTTTATAAAGTGGAATTGTACCTACACACTGTAACCTAAAGCAACTGTTCAGACTGAGTTGTAGTTCTGTGGATTATGATCAATTAATGTGTTGGATGTGGACTCTGAATGACTTCAGGTTCAACTCTGACAGGAATAATGAGCCAATGGCTAGTCTGAGAAAGGCCAAGACCAAAGTGGATTTCTGTTGTCTTAATTTCAAACTTTTCATAGATGGAGAATACTACTTTACAACCCTTTACAATGTAAACAATTTCACATTATGCAAATATTTCGGCAAATTATGATAATCTTGCTCAAAGTGTCGCAGAAGAAACCCCATTTTAAAAACCTCTACATTGCTGTCAATTTCACATAAGTTATTTACACATTTTTGGGGTTACTTACAAAAACAAATAATGGTGCACCTCCAGCAGTTATATCATATTATTTCTGATGGAATAACTACATAAAACGAAATGAAATGAAAAAGCTGAAAGAACTGCATTTGTGTGAACCTCTATGTAGTGTGTGTCTTGTTTTAAAGAGAGTAGGAAAAACACTTTGGTTCTGGTCCTGCTTGAACTAGAGGTTCGCTCATCAATATGATCATTTCTCCAACGGGAGGTTGCTCAAAGAGCCATCTACAGCAGGTAAGACAATGATTGTTCAAAATCTTTTCACAGAGTCGTATCTCATAAAATCTGAACCATCCTTTTTAAGAAAGAAGTTGTGAAACTGATCACTCTAAAACCATGCCTGGATAAAACAGCAGATACTACACTATTTACCTGTTATGCTACCTAGTAGTGCGACATCGACAAATCACTGTGACCTTGTTATTGAGTGATTTCATTTACACTTTAAAATGACACCAAACAGCTTTACAATTTAAAGAAAGGTTAATGCTGGATCAGCCTAAAGGTAATGGAAAAGATGGAGGGGAAAAGCCCTTTATTCAGATCAGAGGCAGTGAATGTTCAAAGTTCATAAAGTCTGCTCAAGTCAAACTGCCCCCCCTCCCCAATCAAGACAAGTCTGATCAATTCAAACTGCTTTCACATTGCATAAAGCTTAATCTTGGCCCACTCCCCTGCTGTCTGCAAATGTACACGCCATGCGCTCCCAGGCCCGACAGCAGTATAAGCTAGTCAGATAGGTGGCTATGACAATCCACTGGCTCTTGTGCGTATGTTGAGGTGCAACAGGACAGCACAAACCAGAACCTACACTAGTGCCAAAGGCCCAGCAGTTTGAGGATTTGGAACGTGGTAGTCAAGAACCCAAGAAGAAGTTCATTTGGATACTTTGGAGGGGGTGTCCATCTCTGTTAACTGACGGTCTTCACTCCAAGCCTCCCTGGTGCTCTTGAGAGCCTGCGTTCGTTGCTGGTCCACAACCACGTAGTCGACGCGCTCTTCTGATGCTGCGTTATTGTCAGTTCCGGCATTTTTCAGCTAGAAAACGACAAAAGTTAATCGCTTATTTAAACTCCTAAAATCGAGACAATAGGGTGCACATTGTTGGGGACAAAACGCCTACCTTCCTAGGTGGGGTAGACTTGCTAGGGTCGAGGTCCAAATCCAAGTACTCCACCTGTTTATCACCCTTCGGTTTTACTACAGGGCTATTCCCACCATCGGTAGGCATGGGTGCTGCAATCTTCATTATCTGTGAGAGCCAGGACATGTTATATTTTTGTGTTTTTTTCATCCCAAAAACCAAAGAAAAACAACTCATACATGACTGAATGGATAAATTGTCACAATTACCAACATTTTTTCAAATTTAGTTTAGTTTTTATGTAGGCAAAGAGGATTTGTGGATTTTTAACATTTAAAGCTCATGTGAAATCTGGTATATTATAAGGTTGAACATATTTTTATATTACTTAACCTTTTCATTCACTGGGTTAGCAAGGTATGGTCAAGTGTAGATGAAATATAAAAAATGATTTAGGGTAAAATACGTATAACTATTAATAAAATGGTTGCTTTAATTTTTTGGCAAATGGTGGTCCAGAGTGATGGCTGCTTTGAGTCACTGACACACAATATGAGTACTAAACCAAAACCACATCACAGTGGAAGAGCTACTTTTGCTTTATGGCCTTTATTATGTTGGTATTTCCTCTCTTTTTTTTGTCAGGAAATTTACATATTTCAACCTGACATCAATAACAATTCACCCTAATAAAAAATAAAGAAATAATTGTGATAATTGTGACAACTCAGTGACACATGTTGGACCTGCAGCATACATCAGAGAATCACAGTTTATGTTCTGCATTGCTAGGTGGTAAGATTTCTTTGTTGTTTGTTCACCATTTTATGTGATTTCTAGTAGAAGTTTAAAAGAAAATGCACTTATTTTAGATTACTTTGTGGCCTGCGGTTCACATCAGGGGGACTGATTAAACCCACTTTTGTTTAATTCTCAAAAGAACAACCAGAATGGAGGACGAAATGAACCACAGTACGCTGCTACCAAATATTGTGGGAGACCTTTCTAAATACGAGTCCATATGCAAGGGGTATCTGTCAGATTTTGTCTCAGAAACTCTCGTATTATATAGTGAAGGAACTCTAAAGTTATAACACCGTTGAGGTACATGGTCTAACAGAGGGACTTCGGCAAATTAATATTGCACTAAAATGTGATGTGTATTTCTGTTTTTACTCAACCCTTGTATTTGCGGTGAAGATTTGAGGGGCAGTAGAGGTAACTTTTCTTAGCTTTAAATATATAATTTCACTGTAAGGCCTCTGGAGATTTTTCTCTTTCATAACAAAAGAGTGCAAACAGTCCTAAAGAAATTTAATCAGAGCCCAGGGGTTTAAGTCAAGTTGTCATTAAAATATAGAGTAATTGATTCACTAAGAACAGACTGAGTTCATTGAAATCCATTTCGATATCTGTTCCGAGTCTTCTAGATATGATGGAAATGTTTTTTCCTAACGATTTGTTCAGCATATTGCCAAGCCCAAGATAACCCTTTGGTTGATTCAAATGGAAATGTCTGTTTTTAACAGAACTCCCACGAGGTGATGAACTAACAACAAAGAAAGCTTGACGTTCAAGAATGTCGGAAACATAAATCACATGATTATCTGACATGTGCTGGACAGCTTCTATCAGCAGAGTTAATCATGTACTACTAGAACTAAGATGGTGCAAAACTAGAACGTACTGACTGAAAGTTACACTACACGTGTTGTTGAAACCCCTGCGACATTTGTATCCCAGGCACATCTTGTAGTTTGTGTTGAGGAGTGATATCCCCACAGCAAAGTCTATGTCATGAACTTTATTATCCAATTATAAAACCTGAAAAACGCAACCTCTGGCATTCTGTCAGGGCAAGCCATTTGTGTCTAACCTGGCAACCCTGCTCACCTCCTCTATGGGGTCAAGTTCCTCCACCTCCCTCTTTACAGGGGTGATGGGGACTGTGCAGTAGAAGGACTCCTCTCTACACAAAGTAAGAGGGAGGTAGTTGTAAAGAAAAAAAAGAGAGAGAGAGAGCAGATGGTTAAGACCAAAATGCAGGAAAAAGGAAATGAATGAAGCCAAAGCCTGAGGAAGCCAGAGATGGGAAACTAGAAAAAAAAAAAAGAAATTAACATGAGTTATGAAAAGAGCAGGAAGGCAGTCTATTGTACCAAAGCAACCGAAAAAATTAAATGGTTAACAGCAGGAAAAAAATAAAATAAAAATCCAAAAATGGCTAATCCAAGATGCAAACAGGAAGTGAAAGTATCCTTAAAGACAACTTAGGATAGCTCCCCTTGTTAGACTTTAGAGAATAAGTGCCAATTTATTCTGATTTTTTTTTTCAGTTTTGAAGGATTAAAAAAAAGACAAAATTTGGTTGACAAAATAAAAATAACCTGAAAAGCAAACAATAAAACAATAAAAGAAAGCAGAACAGCAGGAAACTGCAAGGAAGAGCATTTAAGTGGTGAGGAGTCCATCTGCAGCCAGTAGTATGTCCACGTTATAACACATGATGCAAAGTGAGAGAATAATTTGCTGGAATTTGAGTGACAGTTTCTGTAGAAAAAAAATGAAAAATCACAACTTAATGACTTATCCTTAAAACGTAACATGCATGATCCTAAATTGGACGTTTTATGGTGTATCTGTGACAAAGTCTGTAGAGGTCATTGTGCAATAACTTTGAACAGAGTTTAAAAACAACACAAAGTAGAAGTTTAATAAATTATCAAATGAAATCCAATTTTTCTTTTTTATGTAAAGAAAAAGAAATCATGTCAACTCTTTGATCAGAGAGCAGTTGTGTGTTACATACTGGGTCATCTGTGGGCATATTAGGGTCCATGTCTACATAATTCTCATTGTCAGGGAACTCCTCGGAGTCAGTGCTGGAGGCCGTGCTATGCACTGACGGGGGTCTCCCTGGCATTGGTAACCTAGGGAAACTGAGCAGCATTCACAATGTTTATGAAGAACCTCAAAGCAGGAACATACTCTTTTAGTGAAAACAAAATGCAAACATGACAACTTGCAGCCACAGGAGGGGGCGGGGGATTCTTTGCAATGCTGATACACAAAGAAATACCCCACCTCAGAGAAAACAAACTGGTATTACTTAATACAGCTTTGAGGCAGATCCCAGACCTGTTTGCATGATTAACTACTTTGGCCAAACAGTGACTACAGTAATGATGAAGTGTTATATGTATTCACTACAAAAGGGCATGTTCTCAGAGTTCAACTCATGAACGAGTTGAAAATCTCAGCTGCATTTTTTGTTTTAATAACCAGGTAAGATAAACCTCATGTTTCTCAAAGGCATACAGTTTATCTGTTTTATGAGGCAATTATGAGACTGCAGCTCCACTTTCAACTACAACTAAATAAAGCTGAGCAGTGAGAAGATGCCCTCAGACGTTAGCAAAATACAGAACTATGAAAAAAATTAATGAAGCAAAACATTTTAGATACTTACTCTCGAGTGAATGATCGTGTGACTGGTGAGCGGACAGGTGTGCAGTGCTCCTCCCATTCTGGTACTGCTTTGATCTCCAGTGGAGCGGGTTTTCCTAAACCAAAAAATAAATAAATAAATAAATAAATAAATAAATAAATAAATAAATAAATAAATAAATAAATAAATAAAATAACATGCACCAGTCAGTTGATAACAATCATAAATGCACTAGAATTTCTTTGAGCTATTAAGAAGGTTTTTTCCCAATGATAAAAAATTTTAAGCTGACTTTTTCAAAATGTGATTTTTCAACTCAGCAAGTGATTATTTTTGTCTACTTTAATGTGGATTACAGCAACATGTACATTATAGAAATTCACTGTTAAATGCAACATTATTTTTGGCCCATTCAATTAAAAGTCTTAAAACTTCTAAATACATTTTGTTCGTGTTACGGAAAGGAAAGTTGCCGGGGTTGCCAGTCAACATTATGATAAAAAAAACGTTGATGGTAAAAATTTGCTGTGGGCTACACAAAATATTGGACTCATTGCTGTTTTTTTTCCAAGTTCTTAGGTTTTCTTTTACAAAATAATAATAATAATAATAATAATAATAATAATAATAATGATAAAAAATAAAAATTAATAATTAGGCAAAATGGTGATCCTAAAATTCAACAGCATGGCATCAGGTTACATTCTTTGTACGTAGTGGAGAAGTACACATGTACTAACTAGTTAAGGAATTTGTTTTAGTTTAAAAAGTGAAGCTTGAGCGTCTGTATAGCATGAAAAAAAACTGTGTGGAATTTTAGAAGCCAGTGGGGTGAGAAAAAATTAAATGGTACCCCGCTGCAAACATTCACCATTGTTGGATTATTCTGTATGACAACTGTTCTTCACACTTTACTCTTAATGTAACCAGAATATACTGCATGCACACAGATGTGAATGTGATTGGTGACAAGATTCCCTCCATTAGATGTTATCATTGTTTCATTTCCTCTTGAAGAGCAATCCACTGTGCTCTAAAGGCGTGTGAGCATTTTAGTGACAATAACAATGTGGCTGCTGCATTTTATTATGCTTATGGTGCATTACAAAACCCACAATATAAAAAAAAAAAAGTTCAGGAAAAACACATTGTTAGTTTGTTATTTGATTGCATGTAAGGAATCATATTATTATTAGAAGTTATTTTGACCTAAGTGAAATCCATGATACATAAAAAAAGCACAATGCATGCATCTCCTGCTCAGATATGGAGTATGGAGTAACACTGAATTAAAAGGCAACAGTTTCATAAGGAACTGAATAAAAACGTCCTGCAAAACAAGAAGTAGGATCATCCAGTTCAATGTTTACAACATGCAAAGAGTCTAGAAGAAGTATTGTGGAAAGGTCAAAGAATGAACAGTGAAACATACACAGGTCAGTAAGGTGTACCTACCCTTGCGCCGTCCTCGCGGAAAATCACCTATGGTCTGAGAGTCGGTTCTCTCTAAAACAACATCTTTTGATCTTATTTTTGGACTCTGACCTGATTGGCGAAAGAAGACTTGGCTTATTACAAAATAAATTATTAATTCTTGGTGATCACAACAATTACGGCCTGCAGTGAGGACTTCTCTGCCATGCAAAGCAAAAAAAAAAAAAAAAAGAAAAGGACAAGACTTTGCTGTGCGGAACAGCTACGCCCTCATTTATACCCAGTCACTTATTAGAGCAGCACAATTCAAGAGGATGATTGTCATGACAACAGCAGGCTCAAACGGCCCAACATGCACCTCACTCCATGCACCACGGCTTCCCACTCAAAGACTGACATCACAGCTGTGCACACACGATCGGCTGCGTGTAAGGACCGAGTGTACGCTGAAAAATCAGGTCACATCGAGAAGAACGTACCGCTCTGCAGCTAAGAAGAGCATTGTGTCGATAAGACACCACGATTCTTTTACTTATTGTGCTGTTCAGTTTATTAAAATGAAAATCACATGAAAAAGATGCTGGCCTTCACACCAGTTAAACTGAGACAGCCAAAGTGGAGAGGAGGGAAAAAACATGCACAATACATGAACGCAGCTCAGAAATTAAAATTAGTCTAAAACTTTTGCAAGGTTCACGATAAAAGAAAGAACTCTCCTAAATTCAACAAGCACAAAAAGCTTCAATGTTTTAGGGATGCTCCACTCGCTCGATCTGGGACCACTGATTCAACTCAAGAATCCAATCTTGTTCGACGGTGAACAAAACATAGTGAAGCCTCTAAATGCACTTTTATGTTCTGACGTGCTTAAAGACAAGTTATGATTTGTCGTATAAAGCATTTAAATTGTAATTGTTTGTAGTTGGATTTTATTTGTTCAGATATGTCTGTCCATAAACCTGGAGGATATATTTTGTACATTTTTTGAAACAAAAATGTACCTCGTGCTGTTTTGGAGAAAACTCAACTGCTCTTTAGATTCACTTAAAGTTTCAGCACAAAATTAACATTAACATTAACATCCCTCTAGATGATATATTCAGAATTTAATTGTTTTAACGCTCCTGCAAACAGATTAACGTATCCACAAAACAAACTGAAAACATTTTATACAAGGTGTACTGGGACAAAAAAAGTAATTTTTATGTTCATCTTTTACAGTCTATAAGTAATCTAGTCACAACAAGAAGCCTTTAGGAAAGAAAGGCAAAGGAACACAGTGTCCAGCAGACAGAGACACTATTTGATTACGCTGATTACCTCAAAATATTTGACTTTTTTCCTGCACCCAATGTTTGAATGATGATGAATCCATGTGTAATAAAATCAGATCCCTTTTTAGCCTTTTAGTCTTCAGTGGAGCATTTCTAAAGTACAAATTTAGAGTAATAAAGTTTGTTTATGTATTTAAATTTACTTTAACTTGTCAATTTTTCACATTTCTCATCGAAAATCTTGAACAGTCACACTCAAAGGGACGGACAAAAAAGATACAATTCTAATTTGAAAATATTCGTCACAATCAATATGTCCAATTTTCTCTTGTTACAATAATAGCCGTGAATTTGATTAGTCTATGTGATGCTTTGTTACTCTTCAGTTCTATTTCTAGGTTTGTTTGTTTTTGGGTTTTTTTTTGGTCTCTACTTGGTCCCTTCACTGTGTGCCCTGATTCAAAACGCCTTGCAATCAGGTCTTTAATCAAAGGGCTCCATTCAAATGATGGGAACAAAAGGGGAAGGAGGTAATCTCTCCAGGCTTTAGCCACTCCACGGCACAAGGACTAGCCCTCTCCAAAACGCTGGTGTTTCTCAGGAGCTTGAGGCAAATATGCACTTGACAAGCGGTTAACTTTAGTGAATGTAGGCGGACTTAGCGGGCGGTATCAGCTTACATGCAGAGGAGCATGGGGATTTTTGTTATACCAGGCAAACCAATGAAGATATTATCCCACATTAATAACGGCGTCAAACAGAAATTTTGAACAGATGGTTGTAGGATAGTGAATGAAACCTAAAGGACGAAGGGCGACTGTGAGACAAAGCACCATCATTTGTAGCATGAGTCATATAGTAGCATATAGAAAAGCATTAAGAGCAACAATAATCTCCAGCTCAATCCAGACATGAAGCAATTAACACACAAACTACACACTAGGCAATTCACAACCACATATTCTGAGCTCTCACCTTTACGATCAGGTTTAAGGTTTCGGTCCACAGGTGGTGGCTGGAAATCTCCGAGCACCGGCTTGCGAGGGGGTGTCTGTGGACTTGAGCGGAATCCCATGTGGGCGGGTGGGGGGACCTGTTTCCCCAAAGAAGAAAACTCCATAGTACTTGGGGTCATGGGCACGTAATTCGTGTCATGCATTGGCTCTGGCAAACTGCTGGAGTGATGATGCGACGGGGAGTTGACACTCATTGGGACATAGTTCTGCTCAATGTCCTCAGCTGATTGGCTTCCCACTGGTATCATTCCTTTGTTTTTCTAAAGGGCCACAGGACATATGTTTATAAAAATTAATACAAGCAAGTTGTGCAAGACTCAAAACAGAGAAAGAAAACTTGTTCTCGACACATTCATCTTTCACATTTTGATGGGTTTAGTTTATGAGAAAACATGAAAGACTGTCAGCACAAGGATGAACTCAAAGGAGCTAATGTTTAAAAAACAAATAAAAAGATCCCTTTTAGTTCAAGCTGGATCACAATACTGCCTCTACAGGTTTGTACACAAGAGAGCAGGCATGATGGATGCTTCAGATTTAATCTTTTATGCTTACAACTAAATAAAAGCCTTTTAAAAAAAGGTCCAGCTGTTTTGCGGTTTGAGGTAATGTGAGGGCAATGCAAACAGGAAAACAAATGTTTGTAGCAATTTTTTTAGTAGACGCTCCCATTTATCTCTGTTTTGTAGTTTGACTCTGGCTCCTGCAGTCGACAGCAGCTGAGCATGCACCTCTGCAATGATGCTGCACAAAAACACATGTATAACAGGATTTTATCTGCAGGAACAGTTCTGGTACTCCTGCAAGACGAGGAAAAATACTTTCAATTTAAAGCAAATTTCATATTAATAAGATAGCATCCTTTTTTCAGGGAAATCTTTGGTAAATAAAAAAAGAAAAGACAATGACAAACTACACTGCGCATTTATAATACCAGCGTGGCTCTGTAGTAAGGAGCACAGCTGCTACACTGCCTGCCTGCTGTGTGGACCCGTCATCAGCTGAAAACATTTGGCACATCATGAAGCAAAACCCCACTGCATGGTCCAAATGAGTGAGCAGTCCAGTTAAAAGAATACTGTCTGATCTGAAAGCGGCACAGTGTTTTTGTTTAATTATTCTTTTTTTATCGTCATCATTTTATAGCCTTTGATCAAGTTGCTATGTTTTTTTTTAAGTTTAAGTTGTTTTAGAGTTTAGAAATTTGCTCTTTCATTTCCACTTTCACATTCATGGAAGATCCAAACAATAGATTGAACCACTTCCACTACTTTGAGATACATTGTCTTAAGTCATAAACATTAAGTAATTTTATAAGGCTGCTCATTAATGCTATCATTTTAAGGTTTTTGTTTATTTTTTAAAAGGAAAAAAAAAAGGGGGAACATAAAAAAATCATTGCATTATTCCTGAATTTTGTATGCTCTGTGCCACTGACTAAACAA